AAGGTGTTGGATAGAAATGATTAAAATAGTAAAAGACTAATAGTAGAATAGCAGAATAGGAGAATAGGAGAATAGCAGAATGGGAGAATAGTAGAATAGCAGAATAGTAGAATAGTAGAATAGTAGAATAGCAGAATAGCAGAATAGCAGAATAGGAGAATAGTAGAATAGTAGAATAGCAGAATAGGAGCATAGTAGAATAGTAGAATAGCAGAATTGCAGAATAGTACACTGTATAAGATAAAGTGTCTACTTTACACATTAGGATCAATAATGCAGTCTGGTCTGGTTCTCTAAAGGGTCTGTGGTGCATATGTGTCAGATCCATCAACTCGTTGCTCTGATCTATCTGATGGCAATTTTGTTTTTGGAAGTTTTCTCCGTATCTATTTTGGTTATAGTAGAATAGCAGAATAGTAGAGTAGCAGAATAGGAGTATAGTAGAATAGCAGTTATGTGGGAATAGCAATATTGTAGGATATTTTTAAAACATATTATTGCGCTGTACTGTGATCAGTGTGTATTGTATCTGTTGCTGTATGACAGCGACCTTATGGTTTTTATGTTATGATTGGCTTTTAGGAAAGAAATGGCGAAATGATGGCTTTTTGTATTGTGTAACTTATAAATTCGTTCTTTTCTGTATACTTCTAGGCATGCACTAACTTGAAGATACTGCTTATTTCATATCTGCTTTTAAACTCTTAAACATGATGTGATTTGCCGGATACTAAATAACGTTCATGACAACGAATCTGGACTTGAGGATAAGATGTGATGATTTTTTATCCAATTTTGCTAGGAATCCGTCTACTCCAGTTTTTGTAAAGTATAATTGGTGCAGCACTTGTCAAGCAGTTTTAGAGTTAATGCGTGCCAAGTAGTTGGAAGAACTGCCGATACTTGCATATATTTCGCGCGTACTTACCAGGTTACCTGCCAAATACTTAATGAAGTACTTATCTAGTACTTAGACTTGTTAACTTACTTGCTAAGTACCCTTCTTACTTGCAAAAAACTGCAGGTACTCTGGACATTACTTATCCAAGTATTTTTCTAGGTATTTGTTCTCAAGTACATTGACTAGCGCTTTAACCAACATTCTTATGAAATCTTGTCAGATTTCATATGCTCTTGTAAGGTCTTGTGGTGTCTTGTAATACGAATTACAAGATCATATTTCAAGATTCTTTACCCTGAAAAGCTACATATTCCTTATATGTCAAATTAAAGCTTATTTTAATCGGACCTCAGTGGCATAGCCTTTTGTGATAAAAAAAGTAAAAACTATTTTCAAAAGATAGGCTTTTGAAAAGGTCCGTCGAAAATCCGTTCAGTGTTTCAAAATTTCCATTAGCAATGAAAAAAATTCCAGAAATCCCAAAAATTCCAGTTTTTAGACGACACTGAACACTACTTATCTATCTGAGAAAACAAATACATTGCTATTTTAAACTCCGAACGGATTTTCCACAGACCATTTCAAAACAATACCTTCTAAAAAGAGCCTTTACTTTCTTTATCCCAAAACACTATGGCATTGAGGTCCATTTAAAATAAGCTTTAATTTGATATATAACAACTAATTGCACTTCTGGTGGTTTAGGCTGTAGCCCGTGGAAAACACTATTCTACTATTCTAAAATTCTACTATTCTACTATTCTGCTATTCTACTATTCTGCTATTCTACTATGCTACTATTCTAAAATTCTACTATTCTACTATTCTGCTATTCTACTATTCTCCCATTCTGCTATTCTCCTATTCTCCTATTCTGCTATTCTACTATTAGTCTTTTACTATTTTAATCATTTCTATCCAACACCTTAATTCATAATATAACAAAGTAATGCAAATTATGCACTACTAATATGCCTTAAAATGTTCTTCTATTCTACTTTGCATCCTACAATTCTAACTGCCAAACCGAATAGTAAACCAAGCGAAAATTTCTATCTAACGGAAATTCGCCCAGCTCTGAAAATTTCATAGTCGTAGTCCTACGGGTTAATAAGAGTCAGGCACGATGATTAAGAAACAATATGTGAGGGCACCAAGGACACTAGAAAAATTTGATTGATCTTCCAACATTTTCTTTTTTTATAATTTAGGATTTTGTCACGGGCCCATACAGAGAAGTACTACTGATCGACGAAGAATCGGAGAAAGCGCTATCGTAGACAAACATTTTTTTATTTTGGTTACCAAAAAAGGAAATAAAAGCTTTTTGTAAATCGAATATAGAACTGCTATGAATTAGCAGTTCTATATTCGATTTACAAATACTTATTTCCAACTGCTCTACCAACAAATTTCATAAATAAAAGCTTGTTGTAATGAATGAAAATAACACCTTTGTTTGTGATTTTAGTACAAAAAATAAACGTAGTTATAATCTGGTTTAGTATTGTGGCAAGGTTCTTTGTGAAATGACCATTGAAAAGACCATTTTATGTGCTAGAGCTTCTGGAAATAGAAATGATTTCTGTAGTTTGACTTTAAATATTTGTCACTAGTTCTATTTTTGGCGTTCTATATTTTAACAGACCCACTTACGTGCGCATATTAAAATTTCTTTGATTGCTTTCTAAAAAATTTCAAATTATCAAATAAAATCAAACTGTTCTGAGACAGTAGAGTATTTCATATGTATGACATTTGATTTAGGAAAGTAAATTAAAGAATTTAGTTAAAAGGATAGTAATCTGGCTTGGTTGGACTTTATTCATAGCATTGTCACAACACATGTACGATTTACATTATCAGTAATAATTTTACGTAACAAAGAGACTCGACTTAGTTTTCATTTTTAAATAAACTCTCTATCTGTTTTTCTGTGGAAAAATTTATCAAAACTGATTGAAAACCCTTACAAGCATTGTTCATGTATTCTTAATATAACTTATTCACATTATCTCCTTTTGCTGCTATTCGATATATATTATTGGACCGTTGCTTTTTAATGATAACAGTGATGTATCTGGTAGACGAAAGTGATAAGGAATGCTTATGTAGGCTAAAAAAACACGGGTCTAAGTCAATCAAAGAGTAAGAGAATCGCTATAAGATTTGCTGACATGTGGATGCTAAAATTTGGTCATATCTAATAAGAATGGACTTGTTCGCAATTGTATTTTCTTTTTTTGTATGGATGTATGGGAATGGAGCGTGCGTAATTACAATTTAAGTCTCCCTTACACCTCCGAAAATGCCCACAAGTAGTGACAAGGGGAATCATATGAACATTACGTACACTTAAAGGTCTGACATATAGTTATTAACCTGAATCAGCACTATATCCGGTAGCATGAATTAAAGTAAATAAACTCACTTTAGGCTCTAATAGAATTATATGTGGGCCGTTACATACAAATATAGATCATAGTTGAGTCACAGCTTGTTATCTTAGCTTGAATATTTTGCTATGTATTAATTATAGTTACGTTTCTTTTACAGATGCATTAAGAAATTTCTTGAAACTTCCGGAGGTCCAACAAGATATCACCGAGCTAGCAACAAAACCATCAACATATCCCATCATGCTTGACATTCACGACGGAGAGTTTGCTCGGACGCATCCGGTTTTTAAGACCCGAGATCTTCTTAAAATTGAACTCAATTCAGGTAAATACAACCTTTATAAGCAGGAGATTCTCATTTTGCTACCTTTGTTTTGTTGTATTTTTATAGACGGTCTGAATATAACAAATGCAATATCAAATCATATTCACAAAACATTTTTATTCTATTGGTCTCTACTAAACCTACGCCGTGACCCTCGTTCATTACAAGCTTCCAAAAGGCTGGTGGTAGCCTGTCCCGAAGATGACTTAACAGCCAACGTTTTGCAACAAATAACTAGTAAGCTAAAATTTGCAGACTTTGTCCGCTGGTACGTTCTTTCTTCGCTACTTTTACATTTATTGTAGGTGATTTTGTCAGCAGTTTACAACAAATGGCTAAAGATGGTGTTGATGTTGTTATTAATGGTGCTAGAAAAATTTATCAAGTGGCATTGTTTTTCACGTCGGGAGATTACCCAGCACAACAAACACTACATGGAAGAAAAGAATCAGTATCAGCGTTGAAGTTTTGTCCGTGCTGCAATGTCACGAACGATGATTATAAAGACAACATTGATCAATTACCGGCACATTACACAAATCTGGATTACGAACAAGCGTGCAAATTTATTGAAGAGTGTGTAAGAAATGGGGATGAAAACACAACAGCAATATGGAGAAAATTCTATGGAATTAATAATCGTAGTATATTTGCCGAATTACCCAATTTCGATGTTACGCTACAAGTGTTACTTGATCCGATGCATATTTTACTCCAAGGTTTGTATAAGTTTCTGCGTTGTAACTTGATTCTTGGTCTGTAGTAGACACGACGTAGACACAATGATATTTAAAAAACTCAAGTGTAATGACTATGTTGATTTATAAGGTTAGAATAACAACCAACATTTTTCCTTGTAGGTGTTTGTAAATATCATTTGAACGCGTTTCTGCAACATTGTGTCGATGCAAATCGTTTTACAATGGCACAATTCTGTTTAGTTATTAATGAATTTTCGTTTGATGTGAGTGAAAACTTGTCAAAACCATGTTTAAACATGAGGATAGAAGAATTAAGAAATTCAACGACAGGTATACGAAAGGAACATGAAAGCAAATGTAGTCTTCTGCTGTTTTACTTATAGGATTACCCCTTGATGCAATGCAAACTTACCATTTATCGATGAACTTGCCATTTATTTTGCGTAAATTATTGAAAAATTCCACATTTCCAGCTTATGATGCAATATTACTTTTAGTCGATATTGTTAATTTGATATGGGCATCAGAAGCAGATGATCAAACAGTGTTACAATTGCAAAAATCTACTTTACTTCATAATAAATTATATAAACAATTATATCCAGATAAATTAAAACAAAAGTTTCATTTTTTATTACATCTGCCAAGACAAATGAAATTATTTGGACCACATCGATTTATAACAACATTAGCGTCGGAACGAAAACATCAATATTTTAAAGGTCAAAAAATGCACTATTTTAAAAACGCACCACTTACATTAACAAAACGTTTACAGGCATGGGAATCTGTTAAAGATTACAACAGTGATGGAACATTACCAACAAATATTTTTAAACATGAAACTGTTCTTCATCATGTGGAAACATTAACTGATGACCTACGTATAAATGTTGATAAGTGGACGTTACCAGCTATGCCAACTCATACTGCAACACGGATAAAATATAATTCAATATCATATTCAGTTGGTACTGTTATTTGCGCTTCTCAAAATTATTTAGAAGAAAATCCAATATTTCTACAAATAATGAACATCTTTATTATCAAACAACGACCATATTTCGCGTGTACACAATTGAACATCATTCGTTTTGATGAAAATGTTAGAAGCTCTGAAGTGAAAATAAGTAACGACCACGGTTCTGTTACACCTGATTTTCTCAGAAATGTATGGCCGCTAAAATTAGTTAATATAGACAATGTGTATTATGTTGACTTTCGTCCACATGGACGAACTTTTACACAACTGTAAATAATTAGCTACTGTTGTGCTGAATATGTTTTTTCTGGAAAGGCGTCCTTTTTTCGTTCACTGTACAACTAGGCGTCAATAAAAATGAATTAGTGTTTGTGTTATGCTCTTTTCATCAGTAATCGTTCTGGCATTCCGCTTTTATAGTCTTTTACTGTTTTAGATTATATCATTTACGTTTATGATAAAAGGTTATGCATAATCATGGTGTGCAGTATATTCTATGAAGATTTTAAAGCCAATAATATTGATATTTTTGGAGTTTGTCCTGCGTGCAGAGAAAAAGTTGCTATTCATACGCATGATCCTTTCACGATGTCACAACTAACTGCTACCACGATAACTGCGTCACCAAAACAAACAACAAATCTAACAAATTTCAATTCTCGAACCCCATCACCAACAAGATATACAAGCACGATAGATGAGAATACGTGTTCACTTACAAACACTCTTAGATTATCACCACGTGAAACACCGACAAGTTCAAGATTGACAAATGATAATGGTTTTCTACACGGGAAATCACCAGGTAGCAGTACTATTGATCACATATTTAAACAAGTAAGCGTCTGTTGATTAACGATTTTGTTAAATAACTTTTGTTTATATTTTCAGAGAGTTCGTACTAATTCTTCTTCGCCGACCGATCAAAATAAAAAAGTTAATCAACTTCGATCGTAGAAAAAAGCAGATTGTTTTATGCTTTATATGCTTTTAGGTTTATGTTCCACGTACATGTAACTTGCCGATGTACAGTCCAGCTGTTGAACAAGCTTTACAAACAGGTGAATTACCACTATATTCAAAGTAATGGAGTCTAACCCCTTAATCTGAATCGCTTCGGAAGATTGTTTTACAAAATGGGAAGATTACCTTTTGTTTTTTGCATATAGGAAACATCGATAAACTTGAACAAAAATTTGTTATTGAAACGAGGGATTTTTATCTTACAAATCATCAACCAAGATCATCTCCTGATTACAAGAATATCGCTCAAGCCATAATCGCTCGTTATCGTGAAATTTTGAATAATCAAAATTTTTCTGAAGTAATTCCTGCAGCATTAATGTGTTAATGTGAAATGCTTCATTTATTCCTGTCGTTAATGCGTTTTTTTTTGCCTCTATGCAGCGAGAATTTTGCAAACGTTTATCAACTTCTATTCATAATCAACGTGCCGCAATCAGGCGTAGAGCCGCAGGGAAAAGAAGGATAAGAAAAAAAAATACTATACATGCAACAAGTTTAATAACTGAAATTAACTCAAATGGAAACAACGATCACGTACGGCTACCTATTAGACAAAACAAGTTCTACAAGTCATAATCTATTTATTTTCTCTGCAGATAAATGAAAATATTGAAGAGCAAACAATCTTGTTAAATAATGCAGATGCAATTAATTTAATTTTACGAGAACTTGATGATAATGTAAGTCTTTGTTTAGCTCGTTCTGACATGTATCTCTGGTCCTTGTCCTTTTTCAGAGGCAACGGGAAAAACAAAACGATCCGTTACGAAATAGTGACCCTGTGATCTTGTTCTCCACTGATTCTGCATCTAGTGTAAGTTAGGCTGACCCTGGTTTTCAATTTTTTACCGCCTTTCTTTCTTTAAGGAAAATCTAGATAGTAATAACATTTGTAATAATGTTACGACGTTCGATACCAGTGCAACGGAAGTTAAAGAATTCATACAACGTTGTGGCAAAGATTCGAGTTTTGAAATTGTATCAGAGCAAAATTCAAAAGTAACATTAGAATTGTTTTCTTACCGATTTTTCCTGACTGGTGTTTTTCAATTCGGTTTAGGTTGATGACAGTTCATTAGTACCACCTCCATTAACCTCCACTACCCGTTGCTTATTGGCCGAACAAAATACTCCATATTCATCATTTAAGTTTGCATCATCTATGTCGTCATCTTCACTTTCATCAACAACAGCAGTACAAGAACAAACAACCGAACTAAGGTTTATTCATCAATAGTATCCAACTGTCAACGTTATGCAAATGAAGCAAAGAACGACTTATTTCGTGATGACAACGATTGCTCCACTATAACACAGGTATCAGTCCCAACTCAAATTACAGCACCGAGACCTTCAACAGCACCTCAAGGTCGAATTATTGTCCGTTCTCTTGTACCAAATACAATTAAGCGAATTAAATTAGACCAGCAACGTCCAAATGATAATAACCGTATGTCCAATTTTAAATAAATATACTTTTCTTCTTTGATTCAAATAACATTTAACAACACGAATTTTTTCAGGAACAGTCACTGCACCTTCCACTCAGCAAATTACTGAACATCGATTATTAACAACAACCGATGATAGCGAAAAAGTTCCTTTTGTGTTTACAGACAAGTTATCTGGTAGTATAATCGTAACTCAACTACCTGTTTTTGAGTAATTCGAGAAAGATACTAATAGTATTTCTTTTTCAAATTTAGTAGAGAAGTGCGTCTAGAAATTTAGAAGAGTAGTGCGTCTTGTCTAGGGCTGTAGCCGTTCACGTTGGTTTGGCAAAATTTTGAACGGGAACGGAAACGGTTTTGCCGTTGACGTTCTGAACTGTGAACGGTGACTCATCAGTTGACGTTCTGAACTGTCAACGGTGGCTCATCAGTTCACGTTCTGAACTGTCAAGGTGTCGCATTAGTTGACGTTCTGAACTATCAACGTAAAAAATTATGTTGTTAGATGTCTTTATATTGTAGTTAAGTATAAGTCGAGTGCCTCAGTACTAGTCATCTTTAACTTCTCATTGGCTCGACAAATCAACAG